CTCTCTCTCTCTCTCTCTCTCTCTCTCTCTCTCTCTGTGTGTTTCTTTCACTCTTTGTATATCTATCTATATTTCTATCCCCATGAAATTTTCGCAACTCTGAATTCCGGTGGTGGGTCAAGTGTGGGTAAAATTGCTGCAAATATGGGCAAATTGATTTTCAGGTCTAGTGAGCTATAACAGCGGGGAATTTTGGCCAAGTATAGAAGCCGTATTGGTTATTATGGAAGCATGATCCCAAGTGAATTTATTCCCATATTTTCATGGCCTATCTCTGTAGTTGGTAGACAGTGTAATGTGCTCAATTTCTTGGGCACTCTTATCGATTAAGAAATGTCGATGCGCAACGAAATGCTTTTGTTAGGTAGATATATCGTACTTACCCCTTAACTCCCCATAAATTATGGCTTTGGAACGAATTTGGTGAGAGTCACTTCTGAAGGGTAGGAAGTTCAGAGGCCGATAAATGTAATAAAAATGTGGGTAGATTCCAACATGAAACGGGTTTTTAGTTAAGTGGAAAAGGGAGGGGGGTTGTTTTTTTTAAAAAAAGTAGGACGTACCAGTGACGTTCTTCAACCGCCGACGGTTTCACTTTGCATATAGTCCCAGGATGCATTTTCCTGTACAACGAGGGGCATTGGGTTTCGCTCATATTTAGGCCAATAGGTAGTGTCTAATGGTTAAACGTTTACTTGCCTATATTGGCGAATTAGGTCTTGGTTTACCGCAAGTCCCGGGCGCTCACATCAGTGTTTTGCTCCAGCCCCGGTCTGTGGGAAGCGAGTACGGCTCGCCCGTCCGTTCTTCCTCAGTGGTGGGCACCCCGCTACTCTCGCAACCCACTGTAACTTTCACAATGTTTGGATACACCCTCATCCATCTTGGTCTAGGGTTGATTGATCGGCATCGCTGCCTCCTCGTCTGTCTGACGAGAACTTGTGCGTAGGTCTACTAATTTGTCATATAGCCCCACGCGCTGTAGACTTTCTCACCCTTTGACTGATTGCGGTATGTGGGCCACTCACCTACGCTTACACACACACTCTCTCTCTTTCCGTCTCTATCTCTCGTCCCCCC